TCCCAAATACCAGTCACTTTTAGCCTAAAACCTTCAGTATGACATGACAGAGAGCCTAAACGTAAATTCAAATAAAATGTAAATTCGAATGGCAAAGCTGGATTTCAGATCAAACAGAAAAATCAAATCAAAATAGAAGATCTGAGGGGAGATGTTAAGAGGATTGTGGAAAGGAGACGTCCTCACAATCTGACAGATCTGGAGAGGTTTTGCAAGGAACGGTGGAAAAATGTTGCGAAGTCAAGTTTTGCCATGCTGAAAGACTGAATGTTTTGATTATATCAAAAAGTGCTTCAATAGTATTAGCTTAAGGGTGTGCCCACTTATGCAACTAGCTTGTTGCACTTGGATTTATTTGGTTTTCACTTGAACTGTAAAGGTTATAGGTCACATCAAAGGTGGGAAACATGACTTATTATGGTTTCGTCACACTAACATCAGAAAAACCTGGCAGGACTATATGCCCTCATCCTTAATGAATAATTCATGAGGCATTTAGTGACAAACAGATGTTGGTCATGCTAACACTCTTCAATCTGAAGCAGAGGAAAGCAGTGTTTTTACCCGCGGTGCGCTCCAATTGAGTTTAGGGAATACACGCCCACCCAGGCTGTTTATGGCCTCCAGCACTTTAGAGGTGAACTCTGGAAACTCAGGAGCCTGGCAGAAACATGACATTTCAGGCAAAATGATACTACAAGCTTAAAGGTGAGGTCATGCACATTTATTACATAGATACAACCTGATTTAAAGAAGAATGAGTTCACCTCTTTAGCTTAAATGCTTATATCTATATTAACATAACAGCACACATATGAAGAAACATATACATGGAAGTAATGTAAACTACAAACTGATACTCGGCTAATTTTTAGCAAAATGGTTTTATGTAATCATCCGAATTGACTGTCTTTGGTTTAACTGTAAATATATAATAATGAATACATAACATATATCCTAACATTTTAGATATAACAGAAAACCTTAAAAATGAGGCGCACTTGGACCCATTAAGGACACTTACAGTGACTGTTGTAGTTGTTTCATCGTCTGACCACTAGAAGGGAGGAGAGAGTTAGAAACATGATCGGCCATGCTTCACATGAGCATCCACCACTGTAACAGCACATATGTGACACCAAAGACGTGAAAGCTTAATATGTCCCATTTAAGGTTTTAAATTTGTTTCACACTTATTTAGGTCATATTCAGTGCGATCCATTTATGATCTTTGTGACGTTCTTCCAATCTTGAAAAAAGGCTCCAGCTTACCTGAATGTCTTCCTCTGCATCTGAGTCGCTGTTGTTAGTTTGTGTCTGCTGTGTGTTGTGGTCACTTGAGGGAAGAGAGAATGAGGAAAAGGGTAAAATCGGAAGAGACAGCGTGTAATCTGTGAGCAACTGTCATAACGCCCAATTACGTTTAAATCATGATTTCCACGACAGAACACGTTTGTGAAATTCCACATAGGAAACATAACCGTCTGTGTGTGTGCGTGCGTAGTTTGATACCTCCCAGAGACTACCAGTGTCCCATCGTCCAGTAAATAGTCTATTACATTCTGAGGCAGTGGAAGAATCAGACTGGAAAACAAGACGAACCACATCACGTATATAATACACAGAAAACAACAAAATATATGAAATAAAAGCACAGAAGTAGAAGAAGGGTGCACTGTTTACTATTTACACTCACGAAGACAGAAAGGGCAGCTGTCTGCTTTTTGTCTGTCGGCTAACGTTAGCAGCCGGCTAGCTGCCCTTTATTTTACAGCAACAATTATAAAAACGTTCAGTGGACTTGCTCTACAAACGTTAGCAGTTTACCTTTTAATCGTATGTTTCTTAAATATCGGATACCAAACCGAAAACTGACAGTTGACAACTTGCTCCTTCTTCATGCTGCAATATCCTGTAAAGGAAACGAGTCCATCAGTAAATAACTTCCGAATCTCTTTTAGAAACACATTAAAATTCTGGCTTGAAATTACACAAAATCTTCACAGTTATGAATCGATTTTAATTATTTTAATTTTACTCAGAAAACGGTGAAAATAAATACATTAGTTAGCTGTTGGTACAAT